AAACCAATTTCAATCCAGTAATTAAATAATTATAAGTTCCCAGATAACCAGAAGTTTACAGTATTTAAATGGTCAGAAATCTCCAGAATTTCAAGATTGTTCCAGTGAGATATCTTTCTCTTTTTTTTTTTTTTGAAAAATATTCCATTTGCTATGTGAACAATATATCAATTTACATGTAACTGCAAAGGCGGGGAAACCTCATCAGCCATGATAGAAAAATCAGCTTAAACCTAGCTAATAAAAAAAGAAAACTGGAGCCAATTTGTAATAAAAATTTAGCTACAGACTGCATTGAAGAATAATGAGAAGAAAGTAGAATCAAATTATCACCTAAGCGCACAAAAGAAATAGTAGAAGTTAAATCCTCAGAAAGCCGCTAAAATCTAAACTAAAAATCGAATTCCCACCCAAAATAAATCAACTATGCTTCAGAAACTTGGCCTTTGGGCCAAGTGGTATCTCTCCATCTCCACAAGTCGGAGCTTCGAGGTCTCAATGCCTGAGATCTTGAGTACATTAGAAATGGATTTTGATGAAACAAAGATCCATGTGTTATTGATCCTTCAAAAGAAGGTTCATTTTCTAAATGTATGCATATTTTCCCAAATTTTCAGTGAACAAAAAGGAGAAAGGATTCCTCATTGCAAACTCACATTAAGCTTAAGAGTTATGTTAGTACCCATGAGGAATGAAATTTGTATGAGACCATTGTCCATAGAAATCTAAAGGAAAAACAGAAAATTAACAATTACCAATACATACAGATTCTGATTGTTGTAATAGGTATTCAGCACCAGAACCTTAATGGCTACAGAGAATCATGGTCAGAATGGAATTAAACTTTGAACTATTTCTATCTACCAAAGGCATTCAAAACTATATCTATATATAGTGAGTTCCAGAACTCAATTGAGTAACCAAATATTGTATGTTAATGTTCCTCAAAAAATAAAATCATGTTACACAGATAAAGGTTAGTGGAACCTACTTTATTTATCAGAAGGCATGTTATGTTGAACTAACCTCATATGAAGAAAAAGAATATAGAACATCTAATAATTGGAAGTTTGAAATGTTCAAAGCATCAATAAAAAATCATGTTGAAAAGCTGCATGTAAGGAAAATGGTCTACAGAGCTTACTCTAATTGACTATAAATAATTCTTAGCTTGAACTTGATATCATTTAGCTTACTTGCTTTGAATAGGTCTAACTATTAGTAAGATTTCCATTCAGGCCAGAAAAAGGTTTTAAAATTGGGTTGTACCACAGAAATAAATCAAACTAACTTGACAACCCAGTTGACAGTAGATGGCAGAATTAATAAAAGTAATGAGATATTCCTAGAGATCAGGACAGGTGGAAAAAGTAGTTGTTCACAACTCAGACTGCAGAGTAACATCTAGAGAGCAGAGCGCGGTAGGGTTGGGTTTGACGCAATTCCAGAACTGCCCATTACTATCTCTAACTGAAAAATTACAAATATTTTATACTATCTAAGAAGAGCTACTAAAATATACCTGCTCAGCACTGTGAATTAAGACAGTGCCTTTTGTTTCAGTTGCAGAGGTATCAACACCACTGGCAAACACAGCAACCTGAGAAAAGGGCAATTAAAAAAAAATAAGTACATGCCTTTCACCTTCAATTCACATACTAGCATGAGAAGAGATAGGAAAATCGATAGTTAACATGAAAATGTGATGCAACAAACCAACTAGATTTGGTAAAACATATTAATGGTGCACCGGAATCAATGAACATAGGAAGGTAGGATCCAAACTATAAGCAACAAAGAGAGACAATCAGAATAGAGAGCTATGCTTAACCATTGATAAGTGCCTATATACAAATTGAATTTATCAATCTCAGCAGAAGTACAAAGAATCTAATCATAGAACCACAGGATTATCAAGATGACCAAACCATCACCACAAATCATATTTTGTAGGCAGCAATCTTCCACCACCAGTAAACATGCCTCCAATATAAATCGCAGGCAATTTCTTCTCCATGCATATTTTAATTATCATGTTCTCTAATTACCACATTCAAACAAAGTTTGTGCAATCTTTATGGAGACAAGATGTGACCAGACATTCATTACTCCACTAACACTCTAGTTTTTGTTACATAAAAAAAAGGTCACTGCATCCTAGAAGTTGGTCCCTTGATGGAAAACAACCATTCATGCAAATACCCAGTCTGAATATCAAGCTTAAAAATCAAAAGATATCCACATATTATTTCCAAAAAAAAAAGACATCCACGAATATACAGGTACAAGATGAAAGTTGAGAGAGTGAAGCAAAATTTATATTTTCTCTCAGAAGAAAACCAGTAAGTAAAGTTTTCATATACAACGGAATATAAGGAAGATTAAAATGCATCCCAACCTTTGCCTTTTCCATCCGCTTTATGCTCCCTTGAGCATCACCTTTCATAACCATCCCTCTAACTATTGTACAATCATGCAAGCCACCTCCCAAAAGCTTTGCAACACGAACGTTATCCACATTGAAGTTAGCTGGATTCTTTGGGCAAACTTGGATACATGCCTGCATATAAAAATAATTTAAACAGGAAAAAGAGTTGTCACTTTCAAGGAAAGAAGATACAGCAATTAAATAGTGCAGATTTAAAAAGACAGAGTCAACATAATTACATCCGCTATAAGAGAACATAAAATGTCTTCTTGGCCAAATTGCTTGCTTGCAACAGCAGATTTCATCCGATAAACAACTTCTTCCTTGTTACGCACATCCATATTTTCAGAACCTTGCTCAACGAGCTCATCCAAGATTTTAATGGTCTGCATGTGTCCCAAAAAAGGATTATGAGAATGACTTCAATGTAAATTTCCCAAACCAAGAGAAAAGTTCATCTAATCTATAATGGAAAAATATTAGGGGACCTCATTGATTGCTTTGGAATATCCAATAATGATCTCACTTGGATGCAGACCCATCCTGATAAGCTCCTCGGCATTTTGCAGAAGCTCCCCGGCAAATGAAATTGTCAAATTTGCTCCATCACCTATTTCTTCTTGTTGGGCCTTGCCAGCTAATACCAAAATCTTGGCTGCTGGATGCTGAACCTCAAGTTCATTCACAATGGTAGCAGCATCATTTGTGACAAAGAGCTTGTCCAAATGATTGATAACCATCTTATTCATACCTGCGCACATGATAGTTTGATAAATAGCTTAAAAGATTAATAACTTAAATTTTCTCCAAAAATTTCAATTTCAGTGACTACTTAGGGAAGCACAACCCTTCTCCAAAACAAGGGAATAAAAAATTAAAAAAAAAAGAAGAAGAAATCCTGCATTAGACCTCATTCCATTTCCTTTCCTCTTCTGAAAGGGAAAACTTATTTTCTAATTTGCAACTTCGAAACTTCCAGTTAAAACTATCTAGGAAATAGCGCGTTCCAAGCTCCATTAATAGTAAGTTACAATAGGACCTGCCAGTCCATCGTCTTTGCGAAGAGTAATATGATCATTGAACCAGCTTGTGAACCATAGTACTTAGAAAAACAAAACGATGAAGTTCACATAATTCCCCAAAATTATTTCATCCAACAGCGACTTGGACTAGGCACTAAACAAAAACACCAAAGCACCAAAAAAACAAAATATCCGGTGATCCAGATTTCCACCTTCCTCCCTTAAGCAGTAAAAAGTGAACAAAACACAATAGAACCTGTGAAATAACCAAAATGCACAATGGCTAATAGATCGTGAAGAGAAATAACTACCATTGGGGCCAAGAGAAGTGCGGGTAATTCCGGCAAGGCTCTTGCACGCATCGATGTTCTTGAGCACTGCCTCTTCAAGACCAGAGAGGTGTCTGTACCCTTCTTTAAGCATCGATTGTATTCCATATGGTTGCATTGAGAACCCCATTTCCTACTTCTCTTTTTCCTTTTTACTTTTCGCTTGCTTCCTTCTCCTTCGTCAACGAAATAACCGAGAATCCCCAACCCTAACCTTCGAAATGAGCTACCAGCGCTTGCGAGTGAAGTGAAACCAGAGAACCAACAAGTCAGATTGTCTCTCTCTTATAACCAGGAATGCCCTAGAAGTTGCTCCCTTTTTAGTTTAAAATGGCTTTATTGTACTGGGTTGAAATGACGTCGTTTTAAGCGTCAGTTCACGAAAATGCAATTTATTTATGAATACTACGTAAAAACTCACTAAATTTTACTACATGTACCACTTCAAATTAAAACAGTTAACAAATTAATGTAAAATTTATATTTCGCCATTGAAGAAAAATATTTAAACTAGTTAACAAGTTTTTTTAATTTGATGTATTTATACGATGCATGTTGAAAATATAAATTTTATTATTCAATTAAAATTTTGGACATTATTTTTTATATATTTAAAAAAATATTTAAATTTTTAAATAATATTTAAATTATTTAATATTGTATACTCAAATAATTATAATTTGCTTACTAACTAAATTACTATGAGAAAATATTTATATATAGATATTAGAAAAACTTTTATAACCAAACTATATTTATTTTAGCATAGTTTTTAGTTCATGTATTTAGAATAACATTAGATGGACATAAAGATTCATTGAAAATAAATACTAAGATCCATTTTTTAGATTCTAAAGATGAATTTATATATAAAAAAATTATATACGTGGATTAAGATCTTAAAATTTTAAAGTTAACGATCATATTGATATATTTTGTCAATAAATATCGCCAACAGTTGATTGGTATATTATATTTATGTCAAGTATAAAAAGAAAATGATATTACAAGTTTAATTTGAAGTGTTTTAACAGTTCATTGTTAAATCAACATAAAACTTAATTTAATTTTAATTTGAACATAACACTATTAAATCTATCAAAACTAAAATTAAACTAAGTATCATATTGAATATTACATTCACATATAAAATTTTTAAAGAATACATATTTTCATAGTTTAACATATTAATTTATCATATTCTATTTTTTATATTTAATTTAGTGTCTAACTTTATTTCTCATCGAGTCGATATTTGTACTTTCATAAAATGTTCGCATTAATATATTTTCATTAGTTGTTTACTGAATGTAATATTATCTGATATCCATTATTACTAATCGTAATACGTAACAATTTTTAGTTGATCAAAATTGTTACTAATCGTAATACGTAACAATTTTTAGTTGATCAAAATTGTTACGTATACTCAAACCTATTTAAAAAATAAAATATATGGTATTAACTAGTTTCAGACCAATACATTTCACTTAATATTTAACATAAATAAACTACAGTTAATATCATTCGACATCATGTGTTAAAAGGTGTTAGCGATAACCGATAAAAAAACTAACTCGATCTTTCTTTTTTTTTTTTTTTTGAAAGTAAATAAAAGTAATTTATCGCAAAATCGAGACAGAATTCCATATGTCCAATAGATTGCTAAATTCCTTAATTTTCTCTTTTCTTTTGTTTATAATGCTTGTGAGAAGCATCATGAAAAGGCAACAGAAACTCCTGCCTTCAATTTCCATTAGAAGAACTAACAGAGTTTTTTTATGCTCAACTAGTAAAACTGGTGGGGAACAAAAAACGAAGGGAGATAAACGGCAAGTTTTGAAAAAAGAAAAGAAAAACATAGAATTTGGTCTCCATATGCTAAACACTAGTAATTGCAAGCTAATTTGCAGCCAAGATTGATTTCTTTCAAAAAAACAGAAAAATAAAAACTACAACTCTATGCTAAACTGAAATCAATATACTGTGAGAAAATTAGCAAGCACTAGCAACTCCACTAGCAACTCCATTTGAAGTAACTTTCTTCTCAGACAACACAACGTTTACAGCACCCTCCGTTGTTTCTTCAACATCCTTGGTGGATACGCCATTCTGTTCGAGCAGCCTAGGTTTCCCATTTGCCTCAATTACTTTAGCTGGTGTTTCACCTACCAGTTCCTTTTGCGGTGTTCCATCCAAAGATTTTTGCAAACTTTCTTTTCCTAAAGATGTATCTTTAATCCTATCATTCTTTTCTACGCTATTATCAGTCTTCCCATCTAAAACCTGTTTCAGAGTATCAAAGTTTCTGGTCAGACAATTTAACAATCAAGACTGCATCCAACTTCTAAAAAATCAATAGGAGCAAATGTCAGATGCAAATTTATGAAAAAACATCCATCTCTTACCTGTGTCTTTAAATGCTGCTGCTTAGCCTTTTTCTCCTGAATCTTCTTCTGCCGATCTTCATAAAATTCAAAATCATCAAGGATGGAGGTCTTGCTTGAATGATCCTTGAATATTTTGATAACTTGTATACCCTTCTCAAAGTTAACCTGCATGAACCAGAAGGCCAACACCAGACTTAGTATGGTTATAACATCCAGCAACAGCATACAGGAAGAAGAGATAAATCTCTGAAGAACAGAGAAGTACATAGAGTGAACTACGAAAGAGAAAAAGCCACAAACCTCCTGAGTATCCCTGCTATTTGTGACTGGTTTATTCTCATTGTTTTCAAGAGTTATGTGCCTCAATAAATTGTTTGGTACATCCTTAATCAGATGCCACTTCACGGGGAAGCAACCAATCCACTTGTCCTGTTGCCAGTACTCCACTGTTTTGTTAAAATCAACAGGTCCTACCATCTCTGCTATTCCAACAAATTGTCCACTGGTGTTTACCTGGAAGATACAGCATGACTCAGAATGATGGCCAAATCTAACATAATAGCCAAGTCACACCTCCAAATGACACCAAGTTAATCATACTTACAGAGAAAAATAGAAATACAGGACACCCATCTGGTTTCTCTTTTGCTTCATGATAAGCTGCATCCAGCTTTTTATTGCCATTTGGTGTGCTGGACCATACATTATACTTGATGCTATTATGGATGTCATCCTCACTGTAGGATTTGATGACAAAGAACTTTGCATTTAAGTAATCCCCAGGAAAATCCTCTCGGTTGTACTGTTGCGTATCAAGAAGAGGCATATTATTTTCTTTGAACGTTTCACTCGCTGGAAATTTCTGCTCTTTAGCCGTAAGTGCTACAGGTCCAACACCTTCTTGGTTCATAAAGCCCTTTGCTCTAGGTCCTCGGTTTAGCTCATTTAATCCATCCATATTCTCTTTTCCATAGCCGATAACACCATAACCGCGACTCCGGTTTTTGTATTTATTATCAGCACCCCATCCTTGCCCATTTTTCCAAGAAGAATCATATGCATAAGATCCAAAGCCAGAACCAGCACTTATCATGTTTCCATAATGTCCATACATCCCGTGACTAGGGTACATGTGATTCATGTATGCATATGACTGGCCCAAACCAGATGCCGGTCGAGCATGAGACGCATTCTGCAATCAAATTGAAACTAGCTATAAATAACATAACAAAATTAAACATCAAACCACAGAATTAGATGAGTACATTCCTCAATCGCACACAAGAGTATGAGTAACTAAATTACAGTTGCCAAACATATAACTAAATTAATATTCAGGAAAATGGGAAACAGGGATTTAAACATATATATACACACACACATAAGCTAAATATTGAGACCACACAGGACAATAGATCAATCTATTTATAATGCTATGTAAAGGGAGCTTCAATAAAATTAGTACAACGTTAGCATGCAGATCTAGCATACCAAGAAGTGTGGAAAGAGATGAAGATTGTTATTCCTCCCAGAAGCAAGGTGACTCCCGTCAAAACTCATCCTTGGATCTTGATAAGTTGGAGAAGGAACACCTGTTTGGTAGCCTCCTCTTCTGTAGGAACTGTTTGCATTTAAAGATGAGTTCTGGTAAACTGGTCTCGGTTGGTTTGGCCCCTTATTTCCACTCACACTTCCACCATTTAGTACAACATTTGGTTTTCCTTTAGTTCCTTCAACTGATAAAGATGCTTGATCAGCTGCTAGTGACACTGGAGCCTCCACAAGAGGAGCACCGGCTTGGTTAGGACCTGAAGGCCTAATGTTTTGAGTTGATGACTGGTAATAAGGACTTGGATAGTGATATTCTTGTAAGCCAAGCACTTGACCGTCATTTCCGATAGCAGGAACAGATGAAGCTGGAGAAGCATATGCTCCATATGGCACAGCACCATAATTCTGCTGGTAGGTGAGAGAGCCATTCTCACCATAAATGGCCTGAAAAAGACACATTTTAAATGCAATATTCACTAAATGCAAAAATGAACAAAAACTGTACCAACCACCAAAAAAAAAGAGATACAACTTGCAACCACCTACTTCCCCCAACAAAAGTAAGTGGTTTTCAGGAAGAAAGACTTTTCTCCTTAAAGTATAAAGAGGTTAGTGTTATTATTCTTCTCAAGGTTGAGAACTTCTCCATTCAGCCATAAAGATAGAATTTTGCTAGAAGTTCCCACAAATTAGTTTCGCTGCATGCCTCCATGATTAAAATTCAGTTAGAATACAACCAGCATCCTTGTTCTATCCCAGACTCATCATATCATCAGTAAAAAATTGACGAATAGACATAATATGGGATATAAAGAAATAGGTCATCCAAATCCTAGCATAATAAATCTAGAGCAGCACTCATCACTAACTCTAGAAACCTGAAGAAGAAGGAACATTCACAATCCATAGTTCATCTCCTATTTCATTACTAGTCAATTCCTAGTCCAAAATTTCTTATAAATCTTGACATGCAGAATTACAAGATGTTTATTATATGTTGGTTACCTTAATTCCACTTTGAATTCCCTGAAAGTGAAAACAAAATTCTTGCTTTCCAAAGTAGAAATTGAACTCCCTTACTCCAGGAATTCGATGAAGGCAGTTTGGTAAATATTTTTTAGAGGGGATGGGGGGTAGTTCAAATATAACAAATCATTTTGTAATTATGCACATTAAGACTAATATAAAAATTATAACTTGGAATTAACTAGGATTTGAATGAAAATGAACCAAATGAAACCTCAAGTCCTTCAAGAGAAAGGCCAGTATAAAAATATTAAAATTGATGAATTAGTTGGAACCACTATTCCATTTACATGGGAGACACAAACTAAAAAAATCTGGAGTAACAACATTATCTTCATTATGGACTCACAGGTCTTAGGTACGGGTACATTACAGAGTGTACGACTCATCTTTTCATGTAAACCTCAAAACCATCTACATGATCCAAGGAAATAATCTATATATTCAGATCTATGTCAACATAGTAAATAGAGATAAAACAAGGTTGATGGAAGTCCTACATCTTAGTATAAGTGAACAAATTGAAGAGACTATCCAAGTCAATGTTACTAATTTTCTAAAAACTAAACAATTGGCTTTTCATACAATCAGGCAAGTCAACTGAAGCATAATATAAAGAAATATATATGCATGTACAAGATCAATAGTTCAACTATAAAGGTAATACCTCATTTGTGGCCTCAGGAACTTCAACAGCCTTATTCTCTGAATCCAATGACAACTTTTGCAGCAAATCTGCAGCTTCTGTAAGAATGAAAGTGAAGGAATACACAACCATGATTCCACAAACCAACCTCACATTTCACAAGTATCTGAATTTCAAACATGAACATACCACCTTACCCCAAATCTATTGCTCAGAAGTAATCCAAAACGGTGAAAAATCGGAAAGAGAAATCCATACGATTCCCACAAAATCAATCAACAATCTGAACACGAGAACTATTACAGGGGCGGTTTAACACACAGCCAAGATAAACACTCTTCTAGATAATCCAGTAATCGCCAAAGGAAACAAAAGACCATATCGACTGATTTCAATAGACCCACATATTAAGAACATACGAGTACTCGATAAATCTATGCATAAACCCTCATAAAACCCTTACACATAAACACATCAGAGACAAGAAATTCACCACAAAAGAGCGAATTTCAATACGCAAACACATCAAACACCAAAGAAATGCCTCCATCCGCACATATAAACGCAAGAATTACATACATGTATACGTTATTCATAAGCGTGCGTGCGTGCGTGAATAAGAGCATACCCAGATTTGGGAAGCTAGCAAGGATACGATCAGAGGATGAATTAACAGCATCCAT